ACATCAAAGTGAGTAATATCAGTTGTTAAGTCGTCATCCACAAAATTCATTTCAATTTCTTTTCTTTTTCCCTTATCATTCATTGAGGCACGGTAAAGATCAACTAGATATTTGGGCGTACGACAGGTACGCGACCAATGACCTTTCATTCCACATCTATAGTAAGGCTTGTCATCATATATCTCAAGAGCTTTGTTCTGCAAAGCTTTTTCTTTTGCCTGCTTGGTCGCATTTGAATTCCACTTCTGGTGGGACGGTGTGGAGTTCCTTCTGGAAACCAATGAGGAATTATGATCACCACGATTATTATAATTATTTCTATTGTAACCACCACGACGTCCGCGTCCACGTCTACGTCTATGACCATGAAATGATGACACATTCGCTTCTGGGAATGGTACAGATCCAGTGGGACGAGACTGGTGGTTTTGCATCAAAAACTCATTATTCTGTTCAGCCACCAACAAACAAGAAATCAGCTCAGAATATTTGGTAAATTTGCGCTCTCTATATTGCTGCTGCAGGAGCACATTAGAGGCATGAAATGTGGAGTATGTTTTTTTCAACATATCATCATCAGTAATTTTTTCTCCACATAATTTCAATTGTGAGCTGATTTTAAACAAGGCTGAATTGTACTCACTTACATTTTTAAAATCCTGCAATCGCAGGTGGATCCAGTCATAGCGAGCTTTCGGAAGGATCACAGTTTTCTGATGCTCATATCATTCTTTCAGATTTTTCCACGGTGTAAGTGGATCCTTAACCGTGAGGTACTCTGTTTTTAGTTCGTCATGGAGGTGATGGCGAAGAAAGATCATAGATTTTGCGCGGTCCTGCAGGGACGCATTATTGTTTTCCTAATTGTTTCTCCGAGATTCATGGCCTCCAAGTGAATCTCGACATCAAGGGTCCATGACAAGTAGTTTTTGCCCGAGATGTCAAGTGCCACAAATTCAAGCTTGGTAAGATTTGACATTGTGAACTATAAATGATAAAATAACATAGTTAGAATTATTTCACAAAAAGAATAATCAATTTGAGATTATAAAAATACTGCAGTCACTATAGTATGATTTGTCAGTATATTATATAATGTCAACAAGTTAATTATGTGCTTTCAGTAAACAAAACAATAGCAAAAAGACAAAATATGTTTACACTAAAAGGCACGTAAAATTTATATTTCTACGTTATATAAAACTTCAGGTTTGTAAGGGTACTCCATGTAAATGACTTCAGGTCAAAGAATTTCAGATTCATTTGGACTTCAGGCCAACAAATTTTGCAAAACTTCAGGTTTGCAAAGAGTACCAAATATTTGTGAAACTTCAGGCTCACAAATTTTGCGGAACTTCGGGTTCGCAAAGACTATTTGTGAAACTTTAGGCTCACAAACAGTAGATTAATATATGCAAAACTTCGAGTTTGCAAATTAAATAATTTAGTATTTGCGAGACTTCGGGCTTAGCAATTTAATTTTCTATAAGGAATAGACAAAAATACTCTAACATAAATAAATAAATAACATAAATAATTGCGAGACTGCAGGCTCAACAATGTAAATTATATGTGAGACTTGAATAATAATAGTTTAATATAAATAATTATTTTTCTTACCCTTTGAAGTGAGAAAGAAAAATAGAATTTTCTTCTCAGTGGATAGAGCCTCGTGCTGATAACGTGTGATAAATATATATGTATATCTATTGAGTAATCTGTAATATAGAAATGTAAATTAGCTTGCGCAGGGAGAGATAGAGAGACAGAACGAAAGAGAGAGATAGATAATTTCTTATTGCACCTTCAGTGCATACACATGATGCCTATTTATAGGCATTCAATTTGTGGGTTAGCTTCCAGTATAAGCCAATGCAATAAACTTGCTCACTACTCCAAGAGATGATGTAAGCAATGATGCAAGGTGTGGATCCCACATCCACAACATTTTTGAAAATAAGTTATTTTAAACTAAGTTTTTAAAAATTGCCAACTAAACATATATATATTTTTTTGGTATAATTTTATATTTTTAATTATTAGAAAATAGAAAATTGTTATAAGAAAACGGAATAAAATATGCCCGTAACACATTTGGAATGATATTTGAGAAAAATAATATATTTGACATAATTACATGGACCTTCGCTATGATTTCAAATATTATCCTGACCTCCCTGAATAAATCTTGTAACACAAATCTCCCTTTTTAGCTATGGATGGTCAAGTAGACAAACAAAAAGTAGTTATTTTACTTAAATAACCTCAACTAAAGAGTTATAATGACTTTATTGCTCATTCAACTCACATTTGTTCGCATTTAGTTAGGGTTTTGCAAGTTTTCTACTCTCTATTTGTATATGTATTAGATATCTATATGTATGTGTGTGTATATATATATACACAGTAGTGTTCAATTGCTCCCTGGTAAAAAGGGAGTAGCATACTCACTTTTAATGATACTCGTACAATCTAATCCAACGGACATTATTTAATTAGATTTCTTATAATTATTTTTGGAAAGAAACTTATGTTTCCTATTAAAATTCAAAACAATTAAAATGAAATAACAAAATTAGACATTTAACAAAAATTTAACAATTGTATTACTCTTTTCATTGATTGAATTAGAATTTAAATTAGGGAAGTAAATACAAAATTCCTCTTCTTCTCACAAAGACAGACTAGATATTTTCTTGGGAGCGAATAACAAATTACAAGTCTCTTCTTCCAATAAGTAAAACTAGAGATTTAATGGTGTGTTATTTTATATCCAATGAGAAGAAAATAAATTTTTATCATAAAAAATTAGACGATTTCTCGATTCTCATATTTGAGAATCTCTGCAATTACCTTATCTCCTTTTCCTATTGCTTCGTAGAACTTGCATCAATTTGAATTGTTATTAATAAATTTATTGAAATAGTTTAGTAAATTACTATTTAAAAATCAGTATACTCTAAACCAAATTTGTGTCAACAATCAATAGCCTATTGCATCTTCTAGTTGCAAGTCTTAGCTTCCAATTGCCCATATCTCCATCTCTTCTTCGCAACAATCATTAACTATCATGAATCAATCATGAACTATCGCAACAATCATGAACTATCATAAATCAATAGCGTATTGGGAAGTAACGAAATTGTTAATTTTTATTTTTTGGAAAGTATATTGTTAAGTTTTTATTAAATATCTACTTTTGTCATTTCATTTTAATAGTATCGAATGGTAATAGAAAAATAAGTAAATTTTCTAAAATAATTAAATGAAAGTTAATTAAATAATATCTCTCAGATTAGATTATGCGATAAGGATTAAAAGTGAGTATGTTATTCCCTACTCACCACGAAGCAATTGAACACCACTATATAAAAGAGGAATTGAGCTTCCATATTTGTTAGTTCGTCATTTAACCCAGCCCTTATGTCCTTGTTTGGGATTTAATTTTAAAACAAACTATGAACCCATATCATAACTTCAGAAAATTTGCACCACAGTATCCTCAATTTTGAAATTGGGGTTTCTTCATGATTGTCCTGCATCCACAAAAATCCTTGTAGACTGGGATTTATCCCCCTCTTACTGTTGTTCCCCTCCAAGGCCACCGAATTAACTCTCATTGACGGCGATGCTGCCTGTTGGGTATTCACCGGAGTAGTACACTTACACCCTCCCATTAACGGTCTCCCATAATCGTTAATGTAGGTTGTTAGTTTTGTTCGGGCTTTTCTCTTGTAGGCTCTCTTTTGGGTTTGTTTGTTCATTCCAATGGACTGTTTTGGCCCAAGGGCCCTTCTTGTAATTAGTTTCATTTTTCGTGTATATATATATATAGTGGCTTTAAAAAAAAAAAAAAAAAAATGTATCTATCCTATGTGCTGAAGATTAGAAAGTGGGTCATGTGCTTTATCTCATTAAAGTTTCTTTTACTTGGAAAAAACGTGATTTTTTTTTTTTTTTTTTAAGTAAAGTAATCAATCTCCTTATTACTTGCAAAGGTAAAGTTCCTTTTACAGCATACTTTCAAGCCTTTAAAAGCCCTTTTTAGCAGACCCAAACACATCGCCTATGACGTTTGGGGGCATCAATGGGTTAATAAATACTCTATTTGTTTAAAAAAGAACACACATGACATGTTTTTTGGGGATGAAAGGAGTATCAAAATTGGCCGGAGAACAATCACCAACAACCCATGTGGGTTTTCACAGGCTTGAAAGTATGCTGGAACGAGCTTAAGTTCAGTACGTTCCTTTCAACAATTGTCCTTTCAATTTGTCACTTTCAACTCCTACACTTTTGGGGGCTAACCAATATCAAGGTTGGCCAGAGAACAATTACCAACAACTCATGGGTGTGACAACTTGTGGATTTTTTTTTCCACCGAGAGTTTGGCCTAATGAAGTAAGCACACCGAGTGAGCGGGTGTGGCAAACTTCCATTAAACTCGTCACGTGTCGTTTTTTCAATGGTTGAACATGGTTAAAATTGAGAGTGTAAATATGTACCAAATTGTTTGTAAATCAAAAAAAGAAAAAACAAATAAAATGAAAACTGAACCAATCCCCACTTGGTTAGGGGCTCTGATCAATGCCTACAACATAATGTAAATTATGTAATACAAATTTTTTTCCTGATTTTTTCCAAAATTTTTCTAGTTTCGTAATTTTTTTTTTTTTTTTTCTAACTCGATTAACTATTTGTTTGTTTTGTTTTCTCTTTACATTACAAGATACACACATGCCATAACAATGTAACTATTATGTAACATATTTATATTTTAAAAGTATTGTAAATGTTATGACACAACCGGAGAATTTAACATATTTACATATTTGTTGCGTTGTCTATTTAAAATTATTACATTAATGATTTAACATAAAAAAATAAAAATATTACATTTTAATGATTTAACATAATGAGAAAAAACTATTAATGGTCCCAAGACTCAAACTCGAGTCTGCCAACCAAAGTACCTGTGGTCAAAACAAGCACTACTAAGCAGAACCTATCATCAGTTTTCGAAAAGGAGGCAGTGATGCAAAGTTTGACACGCTTCTTTTTGTTTTTCACTTTCTCTGGACTTGTGGACTAGTTAAATCACTCATTGAACGGGAGAGTACCACTAGTATAGGCATTAGCAGGGTTGGCTAAGCGTGGGTCTCAGCTGCAATGGCCGTCGGAGTTCTTGCTTTACAGGGGTCTTTCAACGAACACATAGCAGGTTCCCCTCTATCTCTCTCCACACACACCCCCACATATATGTCTGGGTGTATCTATATATGTTGCGTTTTTTCGAATGTTATGCCCAAGGTTTTGAATCATATCTCTGTGTGTGGTCTGTTGGCAGCGCTTAGGAGACTGGGTGTGAAGGGCGTAGAGATTAGGAAGCCTGAACAACTGGACAGCGTGACCTCCCTTATCATCCCTGGAGGAGAGAGTACCACCATGGCTAAGCTCGCCGAGTACCACAACCTGGTTTGTTCTATCTCCCTCTATTTATAATGGTGTCTTCGTGTAATTTCTTAGTTGGATTAGACGTTTCAATGTGAAAGGTTATTTTCTTTGTCTTTTTCCCTCTACTATTATGTTAAAATTTGGCGTAACTGGTTGAATGTAAAGGGTTCTTTTTGGGTTGTTAAAATTTTGCAAAAATGGTGAAGCGACTTACCAAACCCGTTAATCTCTGTTGGGTCACTGAGAAAATGGAAGAGAAATGAATAGGACTTTAAGGGTCTTGGTTCAGTTTTCTGAGAAATGTTTTTTTTTTTGAGAATTGAAAACCAGAAAACTGTAGAAAAATCTGCTTGGTGGACAGTTTCTGATAACAGATTTCTGAAAACACAGTTAAAAATTTCTTGAGAAGTGTATTCTGAGTGACAAACCAAATAAGCCCTAAAGTCTTGATTTTTTTGTGAACTTCTATTTGATTTGGAAAAGATGAATAATTCAAATGAGCTTTAGCAAGTCTTTGTGTTAGTACCAGATGAGTGAATGGTTTGTTTTGTCAGGTCCCAAATAGTTTGAGACTTAAAATTTTAGTACCTTTTCTTTCATGCAGATTATCAGCAACCATACAGGGCATTTTTGATATTGTTTCTTTTTTTCTTTTTAATCATTTTTTTGTAGTTTCCTGCTTTGCGTGAATTTGTTAAAATGGGGAAGCCTGTTTGGGGGACCTGTGCAGGGCTTATCTTCTTGGCAGACAAAGCTATTGGTGGGTTTTCTCTCTGTTTTCTTCCTTCTCTTATAGTGTCTTGCAGGGGCTAGGATGTTAATAGCTTTTGCAAGCATGAGTTTTGCAGTCTTTAGACAGACGGCAAACAGTCGCGTCTTATGTTGGTTTGGTTTTGAAAGAAGTGTGCCTTATTTTCAGGACAGAAAACAGGAGGGCAGGAGCTTGTTGGGGGCTTAGATTGTACTGTTCATAGGAACTTTTTTGGCGGTCAGGTGATTCTGAGCACTCTTCATTTATGAAATCATTATATTGAGTGAGCTGGTTACTGGTTAGTTGGTGAAAACACCCAATAAATAGATTATGTAGAATTCTGCATTATGTTAATGAGCATATCTGTCTCTGAAGCTGGCTGGCATGAGTATAGAGTTTATGATGCGGCAAATTCAGAAACATTTTATTTTTCTCTGTTTTTTTTTTTTTAATCCAATTTCATTCAAAAACTTGCAAATAGACTTATTAAAAAAAAAAAAAAAAAAAAAAAAAACATATGCAAAGATAGTTTTATCTTAATCATTTCTTTTTTTAGTGGGAGTGTTATCTGAATTGTCTTGAAGTTATCAATAACAGATCCAAAATTATACATGCCCAAGAGGAATTTGTTGATATGCCCATTATGGTGATGATATGTAAAGTAACTTTTTTTCTTTTTCTTTTCTATTACATATAGTAAAATTTTAAACTGACAAACATTAATGCGTGGCTTCGATCATGAGAGCAGCCGCCCTGTGAAAACTAATGCTAAAGGCTAGGTCTATTTTCAACTTTTCCCCTCCTAGCACCTTGTGTAGGCGGACCGACACTTGTTAATGACTCATTTCATATTTTAGTCTCTAAATTGTGGCATTCATATGCAGATTCAGAGCTTTGAGGCAGAGATTTCAGTACCTAACATTGCAGCTACGGAAGGTGGTCCTCCGAGTTTTCGTGCAGTTTTTATCCGTGCTCCTGCAATCCTTGAAGTGGGACCAGAAGTTGAAGTGCTGGCCGATCTTCCTGTTCCATCTGACAAAACAGTTGATTCAAGTTTTGCTTTAGAAAGCCAAGAGGTTTGCTAATATATATATATATATATATATATATATATATATGTATATATATATATTTTCCTGTGAATTGTTCACCATCAATATTTAAATGTGAAATTCATTCCGAGAAGATTGCTTAGTTGCATGTTGAAATTGTAGCAAGGGGGTAGTTTTCCAAAAGAAGTTGTGGTTTTGTGGAGTCTGATTAGGTAATTATTTTTTAGGAAGATTTAATTATTTGGAAACTTCAAGAGTATTGAATTTTAGGAAAAATTCAGTTTCCTGATCTGGTTCAACTTATTGGTTTAGGGAAAATTCAGTTTTCTGATCTGATTTTACTTATTGGTTTAAGGAAAATTCAGTTTCCTGATCTGATTTAACTTCCTTATTGGTTTTGGATTCTACAAAGGGCAAGTTCTTGTAGGACAAGTTTGGGGACTCTATAAATATCAACTCTAATAAGATTTTAGAGGGGGTGAAAATTAGAAAGAAATTTGTGCCAATACAAGATAGAACAATTGAGAGAGATTGAGAGAGAATTCTCCTTGTAATTCTTCATCTTTTTCATAGTAAATTTGTTCGGTGTGCTCCATGGACGTAGCCCTAAGATTTGGGTGAACCATGTATATCTTGTGTTCTCGTGTGAATTTTTTTTCCTTTGTGATTGCTTGATTATTCCTCGAACAGCGTATGTTGTTATTTTGCGTTTCCGCCACAACAACTAGAATTAAATTCGGTTGATTGTGCAGTGCAACTCTAGCAACTGGTATTAGAGCCTTTGGTTGAGAACCTAGGCCACAGAAGGTGTTTGACGAAATTCCGAAAGTCTTTCGATCAGATCTGTTCGTTCGAGTGGGAGTAATGGCATTAGAAGATAAGACATCCACATCCATGATCGAGAAGTTCGATGGCATAAATTTCGGTTTCTGGTAGATGCAAATTGAAGACCTCTTATTTCAGAAAAATCTGTATCAACCTTTGGGAGAGAAGCCAGAGGATACAAAGGATGCAGAATGGGAATTACTTGATAGGAAGGCTCTTGGCACCGTCAGATTGACATTGTCAAAGTTAGTTGCCTTCAACATCAAGAATGAGAAGACGACAAAGTCTCTTATGGCAGCCCTTTCTAGTATGTATGAACAGCCTTCTACAGCGAACAAGTTGCACTTGATCAAGAAGTTGTTCAACATGAAGATGGTCAAAGGTCGTAAGTTCAACGAACATCTAAATGCGTTCAACGAGATAGTTGGGCAATTAGATTCTGTTGATATCGACTTCAAAGAAGAGGTCCGAGTACTGCTAATTCTAGGGCAGTTACCCGAGAGTTGGAGTGGCACAGTTACAGCGATCAGTAGCTCTGTAGGGAAGACCAAGTTGAAGTTTGATGAAGTTGTGAGCATGATTCTGACTGAAGAAATCAGAAAGTAAACATCAGGGGTTTCTACCAGTGGTTCGGCATTGAATGTTGAAAGCAGAGGTAACGGTTCAAACAAGAAGAAGGGTAACGGTAATAGAAAAAGAGGTAGATCCAAGTCAAGGAATGAAAGGACACAGTCTCAAAATTTCAGGAATTCCATAGATCTCGGTAATGTTGAGTGTTGGAATTGTGGAAAGAATGGACATTACCGTGTTGATTGCAGACTTCCAAAGAAGGGAACCGAAAGAAAAATTGAAGCAAATGTCGTCTCAGAAGAATCAGATGATGCATTGATATGCTATTTGGAGAGCAAGGCGGAGTCCTGAGTTTTAGATTCCGGCGCATCGTTTCATGGCACCTCAAGCAAAGAGCTATTTAATAGCTATAAACCGGGTAACCTTGGCAAGGTGTATCTTGGTGATGATCAGCCTTGCATCGTCGTTGGCAAAGGTGAAGTGCAAAACAAGTTGAATGGGTCAGCTTGGAAGTTAAAGGATGTGAGACACATCCCTGACTTGGGGAAGAATCTGATTTTGGTGGGGCAATTGTCAGATGAAGGTTTCGTTGCAACTTTCAATGGAGACTTGTGGAAAGTTTCCAGAGGCGCTATGACTATTGCACGTGGTAAGAAATCTGGCACCCTTTACACAACTACCAGTGCTTGTGGGTCTATATCAGTTACAGAAAACAGAGAAGATCACAACGTTTGGCACCAGAGACTAGGTCACATAAGTGAGAGGGGGATCAAGATTATGCACTCAAAGGTGAAACTACCAGGCGTACGGGTAATTGATATTGACTTCTGTGAGAGTTGCGTGATGGGCAAGCAGAAGAGGGTCAGTTTCAAGAAGAGTGGCAGAGATCTCAGAAAGGAGAAACTTGAGCTAGTTCACATAGACGTTGGGGCCAGCCACTGTCTCATCCATTAGCTGAAAATCCTACTTCGTGACTTTCATTGATGATCACACGAGGAAGGTATGGGTTTATTTTTTGAAGCACAAATCTGAGGTATTTGATGTGTTCAATAAGTGGAAGGCCATGGTGGAGAATGAGACAGGTTTGAAGATCAAGAGGTTGAGGTCAGACGATGGTGGTGAGTATGAAGACACTAGGTTCAAGAATTTCTGTTTTGATAATGTGATCAGACTAGAGAGGACTGTGCAAGGAACCCCACAGCAGAATGGGGTGGCAGAACGGATGAACCGAACATTGACAGAAAGAGCCAGAAGCATGCGCATACATTCGGGTCTACCCAAACAGTTTTGGGCAGAAGCGGTTATATACAGCATCCTACCTAATAAATCGTGGACCATCGGTACCTTTGGAGCATCAAATACCAAAAGAGGTATGGAGTGGCAAAGAGGTAAATCTTTTATGGTTGAAAGTTTTTGGTTGTATTGCATATGCTCATATTAGTGACCATGCTAGGGGAAAGTTCGACCCCAAGTCACTAAAATGCATCTTCGTTGGGTATGGCGGAGATGAGTTTGGTTATCGACTCTGGGATAATTAGAACAAGAAAATCATTAGAAGTAGAGATGTGATTTTCAACGAGAAGGTGATGTACAAGGATAGAGATGCAGCACAGTTAACTAGTCCTGTACAAAGTAAGCCTGAGTTTGTTGAGTTGGATGATGATCCAGAGAGCATTGACGCTGAACAGACAGATGAGGGTTCTTGGCCAGAACTCATAGAGCATAGTTCACCGCAGATTCCAACTCCTATGCCTGCACCTAAAAGGTCTACGCGACCTCATATACCGAATCGGAAATATTTGGATTATATGTTGCTTACAGATGATGGTGAGCCTGAATGCTATGATGAAGCATGTCAAGTTGAAGATGCTAGCAAGTGGGAGCTTGCAATGGAAGATGAGATGAAGTCCCTTATCTCTAACAAAACATGGGAACTATCCAAGTTGCCCATGCGGAAGAAAGCGCTTCACAACAAATGGGTGTACAGGGTGAAAGAAGAACATGATGGTTTCAAGAGATACAAGGCGAGAATAGTGGTCAAAGGCTTTCAGCAAAAGTAAGGCATTGACTACACATACATTTTTTCCCCGGTTGTGAAACTAAGTACCATTCACTCAGTTCTTAGCATTGTTGCAGCAGAGGGGTTGCACCTTGAGCAGTTAGATGTCAAATCTGCTTTCTACCATGGTGACCTTGAGGAGGAGATTTACATGCAACAACCGGAGGGTTTCTCAGTTAAAGGGAAAGAGAAACTAGTGTGCAAGTTAAAGAAAAGTTTATATGGTTTGAAACAAGCCCCAAGGCAGTGGTACAAGAAGTTTGATGGTTTTATGAAGCGACATGGCTACAACAAGTGCAATGCTGACCATTGCTGCTACTTTAAGAGGTTCAAGTCAAGTTTCATTATCCTTCTACTTTATGTTGATGACATGTTAGTGGCAAGTTCTGATTTTGAAGAAATCAGCAAATTGAAGAAGCAGTTGTCTAGTGAATTCGAGATGAAGGATCTTCTTGGTGCAGCGAAGCAGATTCTTGGGATGAGGATTAGCAGAGACAAACAGAAAGGTACTTTGCAGTTGTCTCAGGCTGAGTACGTTGAACGGGTTCTGAAGAGGTTCAACATGAATAATGCTAAGGCGGTGAGTACTCCCTTAGCTAATCAATTCCGCTTATGTCAAGATCAGTGTCCGAAGGCAGAAGATGAGAAAAACTTTATGGCTAAAATTCCATATGCCTCCGCCATTGGAAGTTTGATGTATGCCATAGTGTACACAAGACTAGACATTGCATATGCAGTGGGAGCAGTAAGCAGGTTCATGAAGGATCCGGGCAAGCTACACTAGGAATCAGTAAATGGATATTGAGATATCTACGGGGTACCACAGACAGATGCTTATATTTCAGAAGGGGTGAAGTGAAGCTACATGGTTATGTAGATTCAGACTTTGGTGGTGAGGTGGACCACAGAAGAAGTGCTACCGGGTATGTGTTCGTGGTGGGTACAACTGCAGTTACTTGGGTTTCGCAAATACAGAGGATTGTAGAGTTATCTACTATAGAGGCAGAATATGTGGCGGCGATGATATAGGCCACCAAGGAGATGATTTGGTTACAAGGTTTGTTAATAGAGTTGGGATTTGAACAGGTGAAGAATGTTTTGCACAGTGATAGTCAAAGTGCGATACATCTGGCAAAGAATTCAACATTTCATTCAAGGACCAAGCATATAGGACTTCGATATCACTTTATCAGATCTTTGTTAGAAAATGGGGTGTTGACACTTGATAAAATACTTGGCACCAACAATCCGGCTGATATGTTGACCAAGACAGTGACCATGGAGAAACTGAAGTTGTGCGCAACTTCAGTCAGTCTTCTAGCTTGAAGACAGAGAGAAGCGCACCGACATGCATGGGACATGCATGAGAAGAAGATGGAATTGGTTTACAAGTGCTCCAGCCTCCAAGTGGGAGATTGTTGTGGTTTTGTGGAGTTTGATTAGGTAATTATTTTTTAGGAAAATTTAATTATTTGGAAACTTCAAGAGTATTGAATTTTAGGGAAAATTCAGTTTTCTGATTTGGTTCAACTTCCTTATTGGTTTAGGGAAAATTCAGTTTCCTGATTTG